CTAGGGGGTTACCTATTTAAACTCTCTGCGCCTATGTGAGTTACCTTCTAACCGAGCGAGAATCCAATTGGACCCTTTATTTTCAGACACCCAGCTTAGGATTTTAAGACAGACTCTCATATAACTATTTCAAAAATATGTATATCTAAGTTGTAGTATATTTTTCTCAATTGAATATTTCTGGTATAATATAAAGGTTACATTATAGACCTCTTCTACACTTGATACTATATTTACAGATTTGCTTATTCCAAAATCTACAATTTTTACAAATTTATATAATTATCAAAGATAAGCATACTGCAACTATGTAGGTTCTTATAAATAGTCTGATTTTCGTGAATTATAGCAAGCTCATTTGCTTTTCAGCAGCCGTTAATAGAAATCAAGTAGGTTGATATTTTTAAAAAAATCAATGCTTAACTTTTAATGCTCATATTTCGATTAACTTCGAAAATATGCACATGATTTTAATGGCCAAAAAAAAAAGCTTAGATTTTAAGCTTTCTTTGACTATAAATCATAAAAATAGCTTTGAAATTAATCGAGATATGAGCATTGAAATTTAAGGTATTAATTTTTTTAAAAATGTTAATCTACTTAATTTTTATTGGCGGCTGTCCATTTGAATTATGTGCAATGATAGTAATTTTAAAAGGTATTTCAGCACATCAAAATACTTTCAATATTAGTAAATATTTATTCATATGCAGGTCCTTAGTATTCCAAATCATTATTCAATTATTTATTGGTTTATTGAGGCTTTATAACAGAATTATTATTTAAAGAATGCGCATACATCAAAATAGTATTATTGTTTAATTATAACAATATAATTAGTACAGTAGTAGATCGCTAAAATTAATTTAAATATTCTAAATGCTAAACGGTTTAAAGAAAATAAAAATATTAAGATATTTAAATTGATGCTAAATGGTTTAAAAAAATAAGCCACAAACAAGATAATTTTTTTTTATAAAACCTTATCCTTAAATTCTAACACAACTTCAAAAAAATCAAAAAATATATCTTAAAAACTTAAAAATCATATATAAATGGTTTAATTTTATTATTATATTTAAGTTAATTTTTATCAATTAATATATTGTATTTTTAATTCATTATTATTGATAAAGAACTTTACTTGCATAAACACGAACTATTTGAAAATTAGTATTAAACTCCACTGCTTCTTTTACGGAAATTTTAGTCAACTTATCGTATTCTTCATCAGAAATTTGTGAATTTTTTGTAACAACAGGTTTAAGAGAAGCATACATGGAAATCATATTACTGAGCATCTATTAATTTAATATAATATTAAATACTTTTAATTTTTTAAAAAATAATTCATTTTGCTCAATACATTACTGCTTTACTAAGTTTGACATTGCTATTTGTACCAAAATAGCATCGTTTGACCTCTTTTTTAATATTTTCTAATTGACCTAATATAGAAAATATATAATTATTAATAAATTATGATAATAAAAAATGTCATATTATAAATTATGATTATTAATAAATTATGATAATTTAACCAGGCCTACCGAAAAGTTTATTGGGGTGGAAATTAATTGCAATTATTTGACCTCAATTAATTGATTGGTGGCG